GCAAAGTCTTCTCAGGCACTGATTGAGGTTCATTGCAATGTAAGAGTTGTGCTCCTGGAAGACTCTTTTGACACTGAGCTTTCTAAGAACAGCCTTCCTTCCCCTTGATTGTAGAAATTCCATGCTCTGCCACTACATGTCACACCCACAGGTAGCAGGCAGCACTGTAATGACTGCTGCCACACCTTCGCAAGGCAATGTTATTTTCTGTCTTTCTGTAGTCAGCCAAAACCTCCAAACTCTTTGGGTAGCTCATCACACTGCTATTACGCATTTCGTCTGAGCAGGAACATATCTAAAATATCTCAACTGCAACTGGCTGACTGGCTCCTTACATAGCCCAGTACAGAGCTGACTTTGCTTCATTACGAGTAAGTGAGGATGACACTGCCAGAAACACTTGTAAAATAATTTGGACAATGTGACGTCGCATTAAGCTGATGACATCAATGATTTGATGATTGTGTTAAGTGGCTTCAGATACACTCAGGGCATGCGTGTGTGTGCATCACTCAAGGAGACAGTATGTAGTGACATCTCCTGTGCTGCTACTCTGCTGGTAGATTTTCACGGAGGTCGTGACATGTGCTGATAACAATGGAAATTTGTGCCCGTGACATTTAATACACTCCCCTTTTCAATCATCTATAGTGAACAGAACTAAAAACAATATTTGTGGCAAAATGGATTAATGGGAATGGCAGTAAAATGTCTCAGAGCAAACTGGCATCCCCACCTACTCTTGAAAGCAAAAATAAAGGATTACCACAGCATTCATGAAGTGTAGGAAAGAGGCAATGACGACAACATTCTATGCTTTTGCAGTAAAGCGGAGCAGGAGGTCAATAGGAATTTAGCATAGGTTTTGTTTTCCCTAAGCTGAAACTACATAACGAGCAGCTTACATGAAATTGATTACATGCACAATGAATGCTAGGGATCAAGTTGCAATGGTACACAGATTTCTACAACAGCTCCTTTAAGGCTCATATTTCAGTTGTCTGATTGTCATATAAACAATCTGCCCAGGAAGACGGTAGGAAAATAGTTTTTGAGCAATGAGAATATCTCTAAGCAGCTGCCTTAGAGTGGAATGAAGGAGGCCTTCAGGCAGTTTGTTTTCTTCCTTTACTGGTGTGTGGTGACGACTATTAACTCCAATCAGAATGCATCATTCACAAATTGGTACACTAGACACCACTGGGGAGTGGCAATTCTTGAGGTGACTGCTTGAAGAATGAAATTCAGAACACAGCTAAGACGGGCAGGAGACTGCATTGGAGGGAAAAGCAAAAAGCAAAAGTGTAGTTGTTGACAGAAGTTCTGGAATTAGGGGAACAGGCAGGCCCCTCTGTAAAAACTATCATAAGTTGGGCATGGTGTGTGGCTAGGATAAAGGACATCATGAAGAAGTTGCAGAATATTCTGCAAGGGAAAGAGAATGAGCCAGAAGTTGTGGTACACGTGAGTATGAACAGCACAGAAAGGGTACGTATTGAGTTTCAATGGCAGACTTTCAGGAACATACAAATTAGAAGCAGAAGTAGGCCAATCAGCTTTTCAAGCCTTCTCCACCATTCACTAAGATGAGTGTTCCAGTTTTCACATTCCTATCTAACCTTACAACCTTTGATTCTCTTGCTTAACAAGTATCTATCTACAGAAATTGCTGGAGAAACTCAGATATTACTACGTGCTCTCATCTGGAATTTTGCTTTCAATTTATTTCCATATTTCTCACCATGACATGGTACATCTGCAACACTCCAACATTTTCCTCTGCTATGGAGCCAGAGATCTACTGTGTGGAAACAGGCTCTTTGGCCCGACTTGCCCAGGCCGTGCAGTTTTCACAATTTAATCTTCTCTCCCTTTCTCTATTTCTTGGCATTGATTATCTACCAATATTCATTATAAGCCCACCAATGCCACTGCAACCTTGATTACATTTCCTCACACCTCCCTCCCTCAAGGACTCCAGTCCATTCATAGCTCCTCAGTCTTCATTGTATCTGTTCTGACAGATGTGCATCTTCTTCTTCCCTCAACTTTGCCACATTACTGCACAGGGTCCTTATTCTGTTCAACCCATTTCCCCACACATCTGTTCTCACCCCTGCCCCCCTCTCTCAGAGTCACAACAGGTCCTCATTTCTCATCCCACTGGCCTCCACATTCAAAGGATCATCCTCCTCCATTTCTGCTGTCACGAAACGTATCTGTCCTTCCCCACCTCGTCAGCATTCCAAAAATAGCTTTCTTCTGTGACAATTGGTCTACACTTCAATTACTCCCAACAATTCATTCCCTCCCCATGTGACCCTCACATGAAATCACTGGAGGACCAACACTGGTCCTTTTACAAAAACAGAAACTTCTGGAAAAGCTCAGCAGGTCTGGCATCATTTGTAAAGAAAAATCAAAGTTAACGTTTCAGGTCCGGCGACCCTTCCTGAGAACTAATTCACTTGTTAATGTTTTGGGTCCGATGACCCTTCCTTAGGACTAGTTTTGAGGATGGGTCACCAGACTGATTTTTCTTCACAGATGCTGCCAGACCTGCTGAGCTTTTCAAGCAATTTCTGCTTTTGTTCCTGATTTACAGAATCCACAGACCTTTTGGTTTTACTGGTCCTTTTACCTTCCATCTTCTCATTGTCCAAGGCCCAAACTCTCCTTCTAAGTGAAGTATGAATTTACATGTACTTATCAATGAATATACTGTATCACTGCTCACAACGTGGTCTCCTCTGCAATGGAGATCAAAGTCAGATTGGGAGGCCGCTTTGTAGAATGTCTCCATTCAGACAGCCAGCAAGAATCGGAACTTTTAATTGTTTGCTATTTAATTAACTATTCATGTTTTCATGCTCACATGCCTATTCTTGGACTAGTGCAGCATTTCTGTGAAACTGAACACAAGCTCCAGGAATAGCATCTCATCTTCCAATTAGGCATCTTACAATCTTCTGGATTCAACATACATGTTCAATAAATTCAAACTATAAACACTGTCTTCCATTCTAATTTTGTGTTATGCAAGTTTGAATCTTATTTTTCATGTTTTCGCATCAGACAAATCTGTTCATTGCTCGGGCATTTACAGTCATTTTGGACAAAAGCTTTTTCTCTTTACAATGACCATTATCACTCCCATTGCCTTTTACTTTATGACACCTTTGTCATTTAATCATTTTCACCCTCTACTCTAATCCAGACTTCCCTATTGATCTTCCTCCCCTCCTTCCTTTCGATGACATATGGCATATTTGACTTAAATCACTGACCCAGATCTTCCAGACTTCAGATGCAGTCAGATCTATGCTGAAAGATGCGTATCAGCGCCTCTTGGCAGACCGGATGCATTGATTTGGCAGTTATTGCTGGGGTCAGTTATCTCAGTTGACTGGACAGCTGATTTGAGATGCAGAGCGATGCCACAGCATGGGTTCAATTCCCATATCAGCAGAGGTCACCATGAAGGTCCCATCTTCTTGACCTTGGCTCTTGTCTGAGGTGTGGTGTCCCTCAGGTTAAACCACCACTAGTCGTCTCTTTTTAATAAGACAGCAGCGTTATGGTCTGTAGGACCATTGCGACTGTCACTGCTGGGGAAACTAAAATTTCTGGTGGGTAATTGCTTGGCACCTGAAACCCACCAAAAAGGTCTCCAACTCTGAGACAGAGTTGAAGATTTGGAAGATTCAGGCTTATTTACCTGAATAGTTAAACAAGAAATGTTAGACGATCAAAAGTTGCTTCAACTTCTTAGGATCTATGGAACTGATCACCCAATCGCAAACACTGACTATCCTTGCCTGGTCCGCCAATCTCCTGGCCAGATATCTGATCTCCAGTTCCTCACATCCCCAGTCCTTTCCAGACACCGTACTCCCCTAATCTATACCCCACCTCTGAGATACCCGAACTCATCTGGGCTGACCTTATAACCTGACTTACTCACTTGATTTCCTGACCCACTCTTCTCCCTCAGGCATCTGTTGCCGTAACCCTTTGGCACACTGTAAGCTTACACCCTCCACCTGCTGCGTCATTCTACTCTACTTAACTGAACCTTGCACACATACCTTCTCTCCGTAGCCTTGCAAAGAACCTTTCATTAACCTGAACCCTTTGAGCTTTTAAGCTTTATTCACTTAATGGAATATAAACAACTTGTGCTGTAAAAAGGAAAATGGCCTCCACGAAGTTTTTAATGTGCTCTTGTCTGTAACAATCCTTCAATTTGGAAGATGTGTAGGATCTGCCACCAGAAGATGGGCTGAAACATTGCAGGTAAACACCTATTACGCTTTTATTTGCCTAATTTGGATTGGAGATAGGGATTCTATTGCAGACTGAAAGATTTGGGCCAAAAACTCTGTTTTGTTCTCCATAGATGCTGACAGACCTGAGTATTTCTGACATTTTCTGTTTTTTATGGCACAAATTTAATGTTTTGAACAAGCGATGCAGGAGAATCTGAGGCAGAATTTTTTTTAATATAGTGAGTGGTAATAACCTGCAAGTTGCTACCAACTAAGCGTGGAGTTGATCAATAATTTAATGGGCTCTTTAAGGAAATAACTTGCAGGGCTAAAGCAATGCATCAGGAAAATTGCACTGGCTTGATTGCTGTGAGCCACATGGCCTCCTTCTATGTTGTACTGTCTCTTTGATATTTGAGGGAACAAATGTGTAATTTGCAATTCTATGTTGTATCCTAGTTCATTTGATTTTGCTGTAATCAAGTAAGCAGGAGCTCTCTTTTGCCAAAAAAAACTATTAACACCATATTCAAACAAAGTGGTAATAAATCATGCAGTATTTTTAAAAATATACTGTAAAATAGATGCTCTCAAATCAGTAAGAAATTCAGAAAATGTTCATAAATTCTGAGCATTGCTATTGCATGCTTTTAATTTTCATTCCCTGGTGTGGAACTGGCTTGCAACACACAAGTTGTGAGATATCACATCTGGAATGTTCTATTTCCATACCTTCTTAGCAATGCAGAGAGTACGGAGTCCCTCTTTAGCATAATCATCTAAATAATGTTGAGTCCTTTCCTGAATGATCTTCTGTTCCTCATGGCCTACAAAATAAACAAGTCATTTGAGAACCAGTCCTGTAAACTATCCTGTATGGCAGAAAACATTTTGTGTACAATTAAACATTGCCTATGTTACAGCTGAAATCAGGCTGTCCGTGGGTAAAAGAAAGGCACAGGGTGATCACAAAACTCTTGCCATTGTGCATCAATACAATTTAGAATTACAACTTTTACATGAAACATCTATTATCCTAGCATTAAAGGAGGGACTACTGGATACGATCTACAGCCCTACACGAAAGATAGATTTTTATCAACCTAATTACCTATCCATGGCAATCCTTGCTTATTTTTTGAATGCATGCTGCATATTGGAACATTGTTCAAAAGATTTAGAATCACAATTATTAAAGCGCAGCATTAGTTTTATATATGCACTAGTGAAAGCCAGCTCTACATTACTAACAATTTTCTCAACTTACAGTTCCTAAATTATCCAATTAAATATTGGGAAAACTGAAGACACTGTATTTTGTCCCTGCTCCAGATTCCAGTGCCTAGCTTTTCTTCCTGTCAAGTCAGAATAAGCCAGTCTGTTGGATCCACTTTTAAAATTAGCATCCTTGTTTTCAAATTCCTCAATGGTCTTGCAACTTCCTCAGGAGGCAGAGTGGAGGACATGCCCCTGTCTGCATCGATGGTGCTGATATGGAGATGGTCAAGAGCGTCAAGTTCCTGGGAGTGATGATCACCAACCATCTGTCCCGGTTCACTCATGTCGATGCAATGGTCAAGAAAGCATAACAATATCTCTAATTCCTCAACAGACTAAGGAAATTCGGCACATCCACAAAGACCACTTACCAATTTTTATAGATGCACCACAGAAAGCATCCTATCTGGATGCGCCACAGTATGGTATGGCAAGTGTTCTTCCCAGGACTGCGGGAAACTACAGAAAGTTGTGAACACAACCCAGCTCATCAGGCAAACCAGCCTTCCATCCATTGACTTCATCTATACTTCCCGCTACTTCGAGAAAGCGAGTTACCTAATCAAAGATCCCTGCCACCCTGTTTATTTGCTCTTCCACCCTCATTCGTCGGGCAGAAGATATAAAAGTTTGAATACATGAAGGGATAGATTCACGAACAGCTTCTTCTCTGTTGTTATCAGACTTTTGAATGGACCTCTCAAATGTTAATTTTGATCCCTCTGCACCTTTTCTACATCTGTAACACTGTATTCTGCACTTTGTTCTGCTACCCTGACACACTTTACACAGTACAATCTGCCTGTACAACATGCAAAACAACAGTTTTGACTGTATCTCAGTAACTGTTACAAGAATAAATCAATCAGTAAAGATAAGAGTAGACCTTGGGTGGGAGTACGAAACTGGGGGAAGGCTAACTATGACGTTATTTGGCAGGAACTGGGGAATGTAGATTAGGGGGCAGCTATTTGAGTGTGTTAGGGCAAAAATCAAAATGAAAATTGTAGGAATAAATTTAAATAAGGAGACTACTGTCATTCTGAAAGTTTATAACAGTTTTTACATTCCTCCCAAGCCATAAACATTTCTCTCATTATTGATACTCCTAATCTTCACTTCTGTTTATAAATGTTAGGGCTGCCCACGGTTCTTCATTAACATAAAATGGCTGCCCATGGCTTGTAGTTGACATAAAAATGACCCAAGATTGCTAGCTGAAATACATTTACACAGTTAGAATCATGGCCTTCATACTCATAGCAACTAGATATAACATGTCTCATAAAAATCACACAATGGGATCTTATTATGAAGCAAAAATGTAGGTACTGCATATACAGAGACAGTTTTGATAAGAGATATCCATGAGAAGCACAGATAGAAGCCTCTCTTACAAGCTGATTCAAAGTTTACAATTAACATGGGATAGAAGGAGAAACAGCTTGACTCACATTAGTTAAGATCCTTTAGGTGATTGTAACCACATATAAATATCTATATATAAATCATGGAGTTTTAAAAATACAGTCATTAAGATATTTAACTGAATTCCTTTGGACAGATAGCCTTAGACAGTAGGGAGAAGCTCCCAGCCTGAAAGTAGGGAGGATTGAATAACAGGTGTAGAAGCCAGCAATATTCGAATGGGGTTGAACAAGATGTGAAGTGAAAACCCAAGGACAGATCATGGCAACACCTATAACTGTCCATCAATGGATCAATCAACAACATGATTGGTTAGCAATTGGTTTGTAAATGCTAAGGCAGGCTGAAAACAAATATATAAAATTTTGTGCCTTTCCTTTGTTTAGGGAAGAAGCTTTGTGACCCCCAGAGGTTTACTTCCCACTGGTGTAATGTCAGTAAACGCTTTGATACTGGAAATGGACTCCAGTGTTAAGGGATTCATTTAGTCTTTCCACTCCAACAGATAGTAAATCCACATCTGGCATGTGGGAATCTTCTAAAGGCCAGTTGTCTAGAGTTCAAGACCAGTATGTTCCTGCAAAAGTGAAGGATAAGGATGGCAAGCTTTGGGAACCTTGGATGACAACAGAAATTGTCAGGTTTGTCAGAAGGAAAAAGGAGGCATACGTGAGATTTAGGAAACTGAAGACAGACAGAGCCTTTGAAGAACATAAAGAAAGCAGGAAAGAACTTAAACAAGGAGTTAGGAGGGTTAAAAGGGGTAATGAAGTGACCTTGGCAAACAGGATTAAGGAAAATCCCAAGTTTTTTTATACATACATAAGGAGCAAGAGGGTAGTTAGTGAAAGGGTAGGTCCACTCAAGAACAAAGGAGAAAATTTATGCGTGGACCCAGGGATTGTGGATAAGGTCCTTTAATGAATACTTTGCACCAGTATTCACAGAGGAGAAGGACATGGTGGATGGTGAGTTGACAGAGGGAAATATTGATATTCTAGGGCATGTCAAGTGAATAAGGATATGTTGAGTGTTTTGAAAAGCATTGACAGAGACAACTCCCAAGCACCTGATGGATCTATCCCAGAATACTGAGGGAGGCGTTGGAAGAAATTGCTGGGGTCTCGTTTGGAATCTTTGTATCATTCAGTCATAAGCGAGGTCCCAGAGGAATGGAGAATAGCCAACGTTGTTCCTTTGTGTAAAAAGAGCAACAGGGATAAACTAGGAAATTACAAGCTGGTGAGCGTTATGTCAAATTATTGGAGAAGATTCCTAGGGACAGGATTTATTCACATTTGGAAAAATATGGACTTATTAGGCAGCATGGCTTTGAGCTGGGGAAGTCGTGTCTCACAAACTTGACTGAATTTTTGAAGAAGTGACAAAGATGATTAACGAGGTCAGGTATTGTCTACATGGACATTAGTAAAGCCTTTGACAAGGTCCCTCCTGGCAGGTCGATGCAGAAGGTGAAGTCACAAGGGATCTGCGGTGAGCTGGTAAAATGGATACGGAACAGGCTTGGTCGTAGAAGACAGAGAGTTAATGGTAGAAGGGTATTTTTCTAACTGGAGACCTGTAACCAGTGGCGCTTTGCAGGGATCAATGCTGGGACGCCTATTGTTTGGAATATATATATTCCAAACGATATGGAGGAGAATGTAAGATAACAAGGTGCAGAGCTGGATGAACACAGCAGGCCAAGCAGCATCAGAGGAGCAGGAAGGCTGACGTCTCGGGCCTAGACCTTTCTTCAGAAAATTCTTCATTTTTCTGAAGAAGGGTCTAGGC